ATGTGCGATACATGCACTTGACGAAAGGACAAGCATATTCGTAAGAGACAAACCCATCCTCTCGTCAGAGAGGATGTTACGTAAGGACTATAACCGCAAGGATGCAGTTCAGAACAAAAAATCTCTGGTCGTGGGTCTCAAGGGGCCTAATGCCATGACGAACTGATTGGCGGTAAACCCCGTAAAGTAACTCTGATTTTCACTCTTGCTGGTGTCCTGAGATAGGAAATAGCTCTATCGATTGGGCCCAACTGAGTAGGTACCACCCGAAGACGGATAAAGAATCCAGTCTCCGAAACTTTGTTTTTAAAAAATCAAGACAACGGATAATGTCCAGAAATACAATAAATGTATTAATCGTCACAAATTTTTAGGTCTTATATGACTGCACTTAGAGCACTTGACAAACACCAGATCAATTCAAAATTGGTCTGGAATTGCCACCAAACCCTCATGGAACTGGCCAAACATAACAGGGTACAACTGATATGGGTGCTGGGGCATGAGGGTATTGCTGGAAATGAAGCAGCAGACCAATTAGCTAAAATTGGAGCTCAACACCCGTTCATAGGACCTGAACCAGCCTGTGGCATCTCTCTTGAAGTTGCCAAACAGGCAATCAGGGACTGGACTAACATAAAACATAAGAAATACTGGGAAACCTTAACTGGACTCAGGCAAGCTAAGGGACTCATACGAGGACCTTCAGATAAAAGAGCGAAGGAACTGTTGAAGCTCAACAGGAACCAGCTAACGATGGATAGTAGGACTATTTACAGGACACTGTCACCTCAAGGACACCTGTTCAAACTGGGACTAAGTGACAGTCCCACTTGTGAGAGGTGTCAGATAGAAAATGAAACAGCCACACATATCCTGTGTGAATGTGAGGCTTTAGCTTATTTAAGACTACGTCACTTGGGTCAGTATTTTATGGAACCAAGTGACTATTTTGACGGCCCTACGTCCAAAGTCCTGCGCTTCATCCGAAGCGTGGGGTTGCTGAGGGAATAATTAAAAACGGGGAAGCACAATGGACCACTGAGGTCTAAGTGCAAGGGCCGAGCAGGCCTACCCCTTCATACATACATACATACATATATGACTCTGGTTTCAACACGTGATCACTCACTCACGGAGCTGAGCCGTTCTTGAAAAGATGCCAAATGTGCAGCTACTCAAGAATTTCCCAGCATTTTATGGAACCCGAAGGTTTACTACCGTGTTCACAAAGAGCCCTCCACTGGTCCCTATCTGAGCTAGATCGATCCAGTCCATAGCATCCCACCCTATCTCTCTAAGATCCATTTTAACACTGTCCACCCACCTACGTTTTGGTCTTCCTAGTGGTCTCTTTCCTTTTTGCTTCGCGACCAATAACCTATATACATTCCTCTTCTCTCTGTTCATCTCATCTACCTTGACTTGATCATTCTAATTATACTTGGAGAAGAGTACAAGTTTGAAGTTCCTCATTACGCAGTTTTCTCCAACCTCCCTTCACGTCATCTCTCTTCGGTCCAAATATTATCCTCAGCACCGTTCTCAGACACCCTCTGTCTATGTGATAGGAACAAAAATGCCCATACCGGTCGTCTCACTGAACATACTGCACTTTATTTCCAGTAAGTTTACCTATCCGGCTGTTTCTTCGGGGTAAGGCACCGCACCAGGGGCGTAAACACTGAGCATTCACCTCATCTAATGCGGAGGGTCACACATATTCACGGTTTGATGTTTAATCACGCACAGAGACAACCGTATCACGAGAGATGTTTCGCAAGACATTCCCTTGTGTTACGTGAACGCATGTTCTTTCGCCCACTTCATGCAGCTGTTGCTACCGAGGCAACCATCCCTCAGTTGGCGTAAGTCGGTGGGCAGGATATGAGCTAGACTACCATAGAATCAGGATTCGGCTGTCAGCAGGGGCACTGAGTCCAGACCAGTTCTGGCATTCACAGACTACTATCCAACGGGTTCAGGGAGCTAAAGCATCCACACGTGAAGCTGGATATTCAACTAAGAATGCATGTAAATATACCTCCAACCCCCCCCCCCCAACACACATTCATAGCTTGGTACTTAATTAAGCACAAGAAACACTTTACCTCTTTACTTGATACCCCAGGCCGATATATAACTGCCCCTTCCACTACTTAGACGAAGGCTCTGATCCTCTTAACACTTTGAAGCCCGGTGGGTACTATACGCACCCTCCGCTTTAACATACTTTATGTATGGTTCTCACAATAAACAGCGACTGTTTCCCTAAACAGCATTAACCGGTTGGGCTTTGTATCGGAGACCTGATGTGTTTCCTCTGAGGTACGAACTGAACTGTGCATTCTGCCCACACACAGTGTATTTGTGTGTTCCGCATGGTTCTCACAATAAACAGCGATTATTTTCCTAAACAGCATTAACCGGTTGGGCTTTGTATCGGAGACCTGATGTGTTTCCTCTGAGGTACGAACTGAACTGTGCATTCTGCCCACACACAGTGTATTTGTGTGTTCCGCATGGTTCTCACAATAAACAGCGATTATTTTCCTAAACAGCATTAACCGGTTGGGCTTTGTATCGGAGACGTAATGTATCTCCGGTGAGGTAGGAACTGGATCTTCATATACCATTGATAAGAAATTCATTCATTAGAGAAGAGCGATTATCTGCTTCTGGAAAACTATTGGATATCACATAGAATCAGCTTTCACTTATTCTGGGGGGACGTGCTGTCGGTCCAGCGACTCTCATTACAAAGACTGGGATTTGCGTTTAAAAATAAGTATCTAAAAACCTTCCAAGGTCAGACTTTGTATAGTTTTATTTTTACAAATGCACTTCCAAGGCTGGCAGCAGTAATGAGGCACGCAACACAGCTGTTGATTTCAAATGTTGTACCTTAGCATCCTGTTGCAGCTGGTAGTACAATTTATTTTACCGTCCATCATGCAATAATATCTTGATTTAAAATTAAATCCCTTTAAAATTCGTCACTACAGTACAGGTTTCGGCACCTGACGATGGCCGAGGAGGCCCAATCATGTACTGTAGTGACGAATTTTAAAGGGATTTAATTTTAAACCTTGATATTATTGCATGGTGGACGATATACAAAACTGCGAAAGTATTTTTTTTTTCGGTCACCCGCCAATGGGTAACAGCTTCACTTTACGTGCCTTCTTGTTATGATTAATGAACGTACATGGGAAAACCGACGTGTATCGTTCAGTTCCGATCCTTCCAGACTTCCTTGGTCATTGCCGTTCTAAAGGTACAGCTATCCCTGTAACAGGCCGTGGAGGCCCATAGGGTTGTGAGACGTCGAGGCTCCCACAATTTCTAGACAATCGGCTCACAGATGGCGGTGAGGATGTCAGCCATACAAGCCAGCCGCCCTTTTAGCTCCAGGAAGATTCCTGGTACGCATGTCTGTTAGAGCCTGAGTCTACCCCTGGGTCATAGTGTGGCTAGAAGGATCAGGTAAATTGAAAAATCCAATATAATCGGGAAAAGAACCCGCGACCTTCCGGCTTGTAGCATAATGCCTCACAAGCAACTACACTACCGCGTGCGAATACAAAGTTGTAAGCAATGTTAAAACGCAACGCTGATAAGAATGTCTTTGTTTCAGGCCCTTCTAATTAAGAAATGCATCCACACAAATGTTTACCTATACATGTTTCATTTTAAACATATTTTCATATAACCAATTTACAATTTCTTGGGTACAAATACCGCACTGGATGAGAATATTTGCAGCACTTCTCTGTTGCGTCACGGTCCTTCTTGAAGCCTTCAAACAGCGGATGTATTGTACCACTAAGCCTTCCTTACTTACTTATGGAGCTGAGCCCTTCTGGAGGAGCAGCCAATTCTGCAGCTACTCAAGAATTTCCCAGCATGTTATGGAACCCGAGGGTTCGTTACTGTGTTCACAAGAGCCCTCCACTGGTCCCTATCTTGACCCCGATCAATCCAATCCATACCATCCCATCCCATCTCTCTAAGATCCATTTTAATGTTGTCCACCAACCTACGCCTTGGTCTTCCCTGTGGTCTCTTTCCTTCTGGCTTTCTCACCAATATCCTATACGCATTCCTCATCTCCCCTTTTCGTGCTACATGCCCTACCCACCCCATCCTCCTTGACTTGATCATTCTAATTATACTTGGAGAAGAGTACAAGTTATGAAGCTCCTCATTATGCAGTTTTCTCCAACCTCCTGTCACTTCATCTGTCTTCGGTCCAAATATTCTCCTCAACCCCCTAATGTCAGAGACCAAGTTTCACACCCATACAGAATTACAGGCAAAATTATGGTTTTGTGTATTCTAATTTTTATGTTTTGGGACAGCAGACGAGAAGACAAACGGTTCTGGACTGAATGATAGTTCCTTACTTTAAAAAATAATGGAAGCTTATGAGATCGCCTTGTTTTGTCTCCCCTCCCCCAACGTTGCTAGGCAACGGCTCAATAAACAGCTTCCCTTGGAAACGAATACTACACGTACAACTGAATAGTTTGGTGTGCTGTTCTCCTATGCTGTCCGTGCCATATCAAATATTCAACATGTGGTGGGCAGAAAGTAGGCGATTAGTTTTTCCCAGAACTTACAGTTTTTATATTAATTTTGTTATTTACAACTGTGTGGAATCAAATGGTCAGAAATCGCACACTACCATTGGAGCTTCAACGTGGATCGCTCTCTGCAACAAGGAACTGATAAGATGCTTTGGCTTTACGCCTCTGAAGCGTGAGCCAGAAAGAGGAGTTGTCTGGAGTCGAGCTGCAACTGTCAGTACAACTGCCTTGAGGCATCAGTACTGGGTCCAACATGAATAGCTCCGCCTGTGTTTCTGCCAGTCACAACACGCGAATTTAGGGACTCAGCTGCTGTACACAGCAGAATTCTTAAGCGTTAAAGCTGGTGGTGCGTATAATTACCACTGTGGCTTATGTTATCTATATACGTTTAAAATTGCATTCTCTTACCAGACAACACCGAAAGCTCCATAACCAATTGGCCTGTCAGGCTGCACGTCCTGGGTGTGAGAATGCGCCGGCGTCGCTGGCGTCTGGTGTGGATGTTGCGGATGATAATAGGGTTGAGCCGCCGCTGCCGCCAGAATGGCTTGCTGGTGTCCTCCCCCTCCTCCCCCGCCCTGCATGAGTGACATCGAAACAGACATGGACACCCTGGAGTGTCTGCTCGGGCCAACAACAGCCATGAAGTGGCAGTGAAGCTAGCGGGGTTGCAGCAATTCACTGACACCTCCAACCGTTCAGAACACAAGGACCTGCCGTTGTTGCTCTTCACTGCACTCAGTTCAACAGGATGGTATAAAGTCTGGGCGGTGGAGAGAGAGAAGCATGCGACGGTCACCAAAATGACATTACACTAATTACCATAAGCCCTACTGCGCTTTCTTCTTGAAGAAAGCTGTGGGACTTCCGTCCTTCGTCTAGGAACATGAGTTCTTAAACTAACACTGCTATCATCTCTTCATTGACAAAGTTCACTGCTTGGACGAAATATCTTCGTCAGTGTTTCTATATATGCTACCTAATTCATACAACTTATCATACCGCCACTTCCTCTTTCGCTGTCAAAATCATTTCCTGCATCAAGACTCTTAGCAATAGGCCATTAGCAGCAAAAATAGGTGCACACAACACAAACCGGGGCTTGCTTAGAATATATAATAAAACAAAGGCCTTCCTGAAATTCAGCAGGACTAAACATCGAACACTCTGTTCACTACACAGACTTCCTTCTTGAATTCATACATGTCAGTTTAGTGGCCTTCTGAAAATCACACAAGAGAGGTTCCTGTGGCTGAAAAACTGGCAACAAGCAATAAAATAAACAGCCAGCTATGTACTGTTTTGGGGAGTGTTTATCCATCACACGTTTGTCAGCAATATCACAACCAAGACACAAATCGACTTCACATAACCTCCCCGCGCACAACGTCCCTCCAGACAAAGGGACCCGACGACTGCAGCGAACCCAAGGCTACTAAACAGCTGCACAAAGGTATCACGTGACGCCCAGCAGTCACGCATGCGCATTGCGAGTTTCCGATTACCTCAACGCGCGTATTTAAACGGGGGCCATACTTATGATACCGAAAATTTTTCTGCGTTAATAAGTTATTTTACACCATAGCAATGCGTAACGGCCGCCCACAAATTTACAAAAAAATTGCCATGGAAAAACTTATTTAGTGTCATTCAAACTTAAGTGTTCAATGCATGGACACAATTTCATGTTTCTGCAATTTTAATCTTGACTTTGGTACACTAACTTTAACGCTGATTTTATGTCTCGAAAGATCTGAAATATCATTATCGATAGTTTTACGGTACCTTGAACTCTAACCAGGGCTGTAGTTGGGGCAGGGGCATCAAGGGCAGCATGCCTATGCATTCTTCAGTCACCCCTTCATTGTCATGGTCGATCTAAATAAATGATTCTCTGGATTTGTAAACTTCTTGATGGTGATATATAGTTGTATCACCAGCAAAGACGGTCTGTTCACATTGATAGCAAGTAAATAAGTAACCATAAAGGAATATCTTTCACTACATTTCTTACCTTATCCAAGGTTCTTAATAATGAAATACAAATTGTATCAGCAGCTTACTGTGTAGAATTGAATCAACTAGCCACATCATTAGTATGCAAGACGCAGGCAGTTACAGAATTTCGATTTTCAAGTTACAACAGAAAATCATATTTGAATTATCCTCCTCACTGTACTTAATGGCAACAGGCACTTCTCTCTGTGTAAGATGATACAACATGACTTTCTATATATGCTGCGATAGGTTGACTAATGGAGTCATATGATGGTACAGACACACAAAATATCTCACAAATCATTAACTTCATTGCCACTAATTGTCCTGATTCAAAATTTGAAACTCAATTATATGGATGAACTTTGCTGAAAAAGATGAATAAAAAAGGGCCTAAAGTTACCAGGTGTTTTCAGTGATGTGTCATTCCTTTCACATCAAAAACGACAAGCTACTCAAACAGCTCTATTTAATGGTTAACAAAAATTACTTGTCTTTTTTTTAAGGTATTTGTGTAAATTCAAATGCTAACGTTTCATTCATGAGAGAAATTTTCTTCAGATATTCATGCACAAAGGCTCAATGTTCGACCTCAATAACAACAAGAAGGCTTCACCAACATCAACATACCACGAGATTAATAGTCAATGGTAATTAAAGCTGTAGTTACTATAAGTATCACACATGATAACATGAAAAACCTCTGAATTCAGCCCATAAAGTGCGTTTGTGTGTTCTGTATGATTCTCACAATAACCAGCATTGACCAGTTGGGCTTTCTAGCAGAGATGCAATATGTTTCTTGTGAGGTAAGAACTGAATTCTGCATTCTGCCCACGAAGTGTATTTATGTGTTCCGTATGGTTCTCACAATAAACAGCGATTATTTTCCTAAAGAGCATTAACCGGTTGGGCTTTCTAGCAGAGATGCAATATGTTTCTTGTGAGGTAAGAACTGAATTCTGCATTCTGCCCACGAAGTGTATTTATGTGTTCCGTATGGTTCTCACAATAAACAGCGATTATTTTCCTAAACAGCATTAACTGGGTGGTTTTTGAACAGACACACAGTGTGTTCTCTGTGAGGCAGGAACTAAATTTTTAAATATTATTCAGATAGACTTCAGGATTTAACGTACATTGATTTTATGCTGGAATTTGGTAGCACATTAACTGTCAATACACCACCAAAGGTTTTACCATACAAAACAAATAATACAAAACTGTTTCTGAAAAGCCTTTATGACAAAAAGGGAAGAGCAACACTCATACATCAAATTGTTGGACATGTTTGTTTGGTTTCATATGAATACTGCAACTACATAATAATTTGATTTAGAAAATGCAACAGAATAATATTTGGTACAACTAACTATGTATAACTGACTCCAAATGAAATGGCACTTGACCAGCCATGTTTATTGGGAGGTTACTCAGTGTAATGTAACACACAAAAGTGACTACAGCTTGTGTACTGCTCTTAGGCATTCATGGAGGTTCACATGATATAAATTTTGTTCTTGGACTTTCATACCAAGTAGACACGGACAGCGTTGCTGAGATATATGCTGCCTCCATCTTCAGGAATGAAGCGAGTAGGCTGTGTGAATGTTTGTCAATATATAGGTTCTTCTTTTTCCTTCTTCAAGGAATGCATATTATTAGCATCACACCCAACTTAAGAAAACACTAAATCACACCAACCCCCACCCATATATATATATATATAAAACACCCACACACCCTACCGTCTTTACTTCATATCCCCACATCTCCCTCTGCCTCCTTTCCCCCCCTCCAGTTCCTGTCCCACAATCACTAATACGTAATAGCAATGCACGATTGATGACAGTGCATGATAAACATTGAAATAAGATACAGCGTTGCAGATAACAGAAAACTTAGAAGTAAGTAAAAGTAATATACTAATAATGCAAGTAGGATAATGAAAACAATATAAGAAACAACTAATAAGCATCAATTTAACTCACAACAATTCATTTGTTACAGACGATTCAACCCATCAAACATATAATTCATGGAAAAACAAGATACAGTATACAAAACAAGGTATAGTAAAGAAAGCAGTCTTCTGGGATTTGGCACCGCGTATATGTGGTGTTAACCGACGTTTCGGAGGAACGTATCGCCTCCATCTTCAGGGTAGAAGAAAAAGTATAAGAAATCTGCAAGCGAAGATGGAGGCGATACGTTCCGCCAAAACGTCGGTTAACACCACNGATATATACAATAGTCACTGTTTTCATAATATAAAATGAGATTAACACGCATTACAAAAATCGTATCTAACATAATTACATGAACTAATTTTATGAAGACTGACACTATTTAATATAACCAAAATATAAAACTGAGTTGACCTGTGCAAATAACGATGTAAATTTAAATTAAATTAAACTATTTTATATATTATTTTATTAACAATTTGTAATATAACTGTAACATGGATCCATAGTATTCATAATTACAATTTAATATTTTATAGCTCTAAATAATGTATCGCCTGATGATGGCTCCAATTGAGCCAAAACATGTCATGTAAGTTAAATATAGTTAATAAACTCAACTGACACAAATGTGATGAGTTAATTGCTTATTTATTGTGTTGGATATATATACAGATTCTTGCTCTGATAGAAACAGCTGAGAACTCACACACCCTACTCCCTTCAACCTTGACGATACAAGCAGCATTTAACTCTGAAACACTGGCAACAGTGCACACATCCCCGTGATGTAAAGACCTAAGAATGACCGCTACAATATATTGTTTTATTTTCCTTTTCTGTGGAAAGTATTAAGCAGATGGGATCACTGACTAATGCACGAATGACTCACAAGTGCCATTCTATATTGCATCGGTTACACATCATGTATCAGTAAAATATGTAAATTTATGTGATCCAAGGGAAGCCTTGGATATGTAAACATTTTGTACACTTACAGTCAGTTTGCACTTTCAGTAAGTAATATACCAAAGCAATGATTCTGAATTACCAAGGCAATTTCAGGAAGTTACAGCATAAATCCAGCTTCACCAGAGTATCTGAGTAAACACAAATGCTTTATGCAACAAGTACAGTCATACATATCAGTATCTCATATTAGACAATGCAGAAGGAAACTGTATACACCACTGAATATACTTCTGCTACATAAAAAGCATTATTATTTTTCTTCTATGAGACCAGTTTCTGAGACAGTCCCTTTGTGTGGGAACCAGGATCAGTAAATGCCTAGCATACACATTTTTAAGATGTGTAAATATGCAGAGAATGTTGTGTCTTTTCACATATAAAACAGTGTACTGTTACAGAATATTCAAACAAAATGAATAAATAAGACACTATATCAAACGATCCCGCAAGGAAAAATTGGAACTAGTAAAAGAATCAAGCAACATATGGTTGCTTAAAAACAGAAATATCAGGATGTCCACGGAGAGAACTCATAACACATGACAGCCTAAGCAAGCTCACTAGCATATGCCTGAAAGAATAAGTTGGAAGACCTGCGAAATTAAACGTTAGTCTTAAGTACTCTAGTGTGTGTAAACATCTTTGAAAGTGTGTCATCAGCAGATAGTGACAAAAGTCATTACAACATCATTACGAAGTTAAGACTCTATTTTCAACATATAATGGAAAGAAAACCAGTGGTCAAATCAGAAATCTCATCAAACACAGGATTTCCCCTCATAATTATTGGATTTTTGGACTCTGTCCACTGTCCAGTATTCATAAACTGGATTTGTCCTCAGGTGAGGAGGCAGACACCTACTCTGTTGCTTCTCTTAGAAAGAGCTAACCTCAATCACAATCTGAAATGTTGTGTTCAGTAGCTTCTAGAATACTGGACGATGAAGTCCAAAAATACACCACTGTCAAAACCCTCCAGAATCTATAGGACTTTCCATCTATAAGGTTGCCTATTTAAGGTATGATATACCCATAAATACTGGTTGAAATATAGGAACAAGATATACAGCAGACAAGCCTGAGAGCAGATTATGCATCACTGCATCCACATTTGCCTCATGTTTTTCACATATCATCTGCCCTTTTGTAAAAGCACGCAATGGGTGTTATTTCCAGTATTAGCAGCAAATTCTCTAAAATACTGAAATATCCACTTATTTTAAAAATGAAAGCAAAGGAAGTGCCACTCCATTACATTCTATCTCTCACGTGATAACTCTGTGCAGTTCAGCTATGTAACAACTTCTCATTAATAACAGTCACTTTTTGTAACTTTTAGAATACATTTTAAAATCTTTTATCACAGCTAGTTTTGTAGTTAAGGTAAATTATTTAAAATGGTCACTTCATTTTCAAATATAAATGGACAACATATAAGAAGATATATACACAGCACACATATTCACAGGAAATACAACTTACTTAGCACATTTAATAAAAGCTTCATATCACACACTGATCACACATATATAACATGAATTACGTATTTAAATTTCCTCTTTCAGATCATTAGCCTTCAACCACAACTGCTGTACAAAATACATCTGGACTATACAGTTTCAAAACATTTAAAATGAAAGGTTAATAAAAACTAGAGTCTTTTGGGATATAAGACTGTACAATGCTCTGAAGAAACCTCCTGACTTCATCTTAACAGCGGAAAAGTAAGCCATGTGTGGAGACGAGCGCGGGTAACATATGGAGAGGGAGGATGGGACTGGAACCCTAAGCAACCCAGGGTCTAGGTCCTGTGCTCCTCGTTTACACACTCTCAGCATGATTGTGAGCACTTGGGTTACTAATCATATCCCAGGAGACGGTAATTTTCACAATAAGTGCCATGAGGCTCTCAAACCTCACCATGGAAGGTTAATGCATATAAAAATATGTGAATATCTTAAAACTGAATATTATCAGTATGTTCTTAATATTACTTTTCACTTACATGAATAATTTGTCTATCATCTTGTAGTTCTAACTTTCATATTTCAAAACCTAAACCTGTAACATACCACAACTGTGCTCCATTCTATCAGTTCCATCTTCATGTACCTCCAACAGCATCTCTATTCAGTAGATGTTCTGTATGTACCTGCTTAGTCATCCCCAAACTGATTCAATAACCCTTTACGTCACAGTGATAACTATGTATCACCTCCTTTAACATTAAAGATCTATACATAATGCCTACACTGTGTGTTTGTTTCCTATGGTTCTCCACAATAAATAATGATTATTTCCCTAAACTACATCAACCAATCACTCTCTGTAATGGAGATGGGCATATTTTCTGTGAGAAAGAAGCTTTTAGGCTTCAGAGAGTCAGACTATGATCACATGTGCACTTAGCAGAAGGAATTATAAGCACACGTATAATACTATTCTTACTCAACATGCTTTCAGAAACAGGGAATTTATAAACGTTTCTTACATTCATCATTTAGAGAAACATGTACTTGTTAAGAGGCAACCAAGACAAGAAAGTAAAGTAATTTTAGAAGATGGAACATTGTACATGCAACTGCTTGTGCTTCAAACTAAAGAAGACAGCTATTCAGACTAAAATTTTATTCACTGTGTGTCTGAGCTCATAAACTGAATCTCGCTTCTTTCTTATCATGATATCTCACAAGTTTCAATAAATTATTTTTTTATTTTTAAGCATTCTTTTTAGAGCATCCATCAGACCAATGCTCTGTAGGTACAACATTTTTCTAATCAAGAAATCTTCCTTAACTTTGATATACTGCATAAGAGAAGCTTCAAAAATGAGCAACACAATCTAACGGTCATTCTGACAATGATGCTGCATTTCAAGGTAAAAAGTCAACTGAGAACCACCTCAGACAAAACTGAATTTGTACCACATGGAGCCTCCACAAGAAACTTTTCATTTGGGGATACTGATACTAATGAAGGTTGCTGGATCTGAATTTCCATGGTCACATTAATCCATATGTTTTGCTTGCATAGGCACTGATATAAGTGCTTCTTAAGTTCAGAAAATCGCAGTAAATCATACAAAGACATTATATTACCCCCATGAAACCTGAAATAATTCAGTTCATACCACTGCATCCTCATTACAGACACCAACCAGTTACCGTTACTTAGGGAAATAATCCGAGTTCATTGGGAGATACATATGAAACATACAAATACACTCTGTGGGTAAAACGGTGTTCTTTTAATGTTAAAAACAGGTGGTATATATAACAACCATCGTGCTTCATTTTGTCTAATACTGAAAGCCAACACATATTTTCATTAAAACTGCAGTTTAGTCTAGAGAAGTGTCTCTCTCTCATGTAACTATGAATCATTCACAGTTAACATGACATATTCAGCTAGAAAAATTACTAGGTAAAATTTTGTAAAGTTAAATGGCCATAGCAAACAAATGACCCTTTTTGGTAAGTCCAATAGTTTTATGCTTCGTTTACAACAAGTAAAAGTTTCTACAGTCTACAATTAGATTCTCAAGCTACATATTTACAAAGTACGACCATTTGCGATCCCCACACAAACTATCAAACTGCTCAGGGGGAAGTGTCAGACACTTGTCCTGTTGAGTTGGGCTGCAGAAATTCAGAGTCTTTCCAAATTGCTTCAACTTATTGAGGTTAAGATTCTTGCCTGTTTGTTTTAACCGATTTCTCATTGACATTTCAACTGACCTTATGATAGTTATAAATAAAGACAGCTACATACATACTAAGGAGTCAGTATAGAGACTGGCTATAGGGTGGAGTCCCAAGGGGTCAGAGTTCAAGTCCTGGTTGGGGCAAGAATTCTCACTTTTCCATGGTGTCCACACTGGGTGTGGGGCCCACCCAGTCTCCTATCCAATGGGTACCTGGAGCTCTTTCCTGGGGGGTAAAGCGGCTGGGGCGTGAAGCTGACCACTCACTTCAAACTAGTGCCACAGTCAAGCAAAATATGGGTCTATATAGCCACTCCTCCATACGTCTTCATGGCATAGTGCTTAATTAGTTAAGCACAGGGAAAACTTTACCTTTTTACACACATACTAAGATACTGAACTTGTTGGAATAACAATTTTAACTAAGCAGTGCTGTTATCTAGAGGAAATGTTTACAACAAAGGTTTTCTATAGACAAGCTAAATAAGGTACACCTAACCTCTATTTATCTTCAACTGGCAACACAGCATCACAATGGTCACTGTCTAGTTCAACACTTATGAAGAGTACAAAAAGGATGTGGTTCCACATTAACAAACTTTCAGAAAACAAAAAAAAAAAGAGGGACGAATATGGCCGTCCAGGTTGTAGTGCCATGCAGTTTGGACAGAGCCCAATGTTTCAGAAGAACTTATGATCTCCATGTTCAGGATCTTGTAAGCCAAGGTAAAAAAAAACTAGCCTGCTGCCTGCTCCAGCTGGTTTCTAGCTTTGCTTACATTTTCACCCTGAAGAGAGGTCCCAGTGTTTCTGAGGAATACATTACCTCCATCTTCAGTGACAAAGTATAAGCCAAGAAAGAAACTAGCAAACTGACACTAAAGATGATGATAAATTCCTCCGAAATATCTGGTTCTTCCCAAACTACACGAGGTTACAACCCAGAAGACCATGCAATCCACACTCACCACTGTGAGAACTGCAAATCCAGCAGAATATACGTAAATAATTGAAATTATATTAAAAGAACACCAAGGCATGATTACACTTCCACTGCTGTAGTGTTACTGAGCACTTGGGCCACCAATTCATTGAGAAATTTTTTAAATGAAATACGTAGTACTGTATTTCAGCCAAAACCGGAGGCATCATATTCCTGCAGTGGATCCTTCAATTATGGCTACATTATGATAGAATGTATATGTATACATATATGTATATGTATATGTATATATATATGTATATGTATACATATACATATAATGTCATGTGTTAAATGTGACTACAGACATAGTTTGGATTGGTAATCGGATTTATTGGACACTTAACACTCGTAACTACAAATTACTACGACAGTCTCACTGTGTTACACACTCCAAAGTTCAGTGTAACTACAGCACACAGAATGTCTTCTGTCTTCACTAGCTGTTGCTTGGTAGCAGCTTTCAACAGTAGACGTTCCCCTTCCTCTGGGTTCCCGGACTGTCTCTGGCCTCAGCTACCAGCTTCTCACTTCTCATAGTTGCAACTTGCAACTCTCAACTGATTCTACTCTGGAATACTAGTCCTCATTATATAGTCCTGGCATGGACCGAACAGAAAATGTGTCTTCCATTACTGCATGTTGTTTTGTTGCTAGGGAAACATGTTCACAGAGCTGTTCCCTAGTAAGGGCTGTTGTACTGTCACCTGTTTACACTGCTGTTACTTGGCAATGGGTCTACACGTCACAATATATATATGTGACATGTCAACACATTGCCAGGCAATGGCTTGATAAACACTCTGCATTACATACATGCAATAGAACAGCGGGGTTATGCAACCCATTTCTAGGCACTGGCTCGGTAAACACACTTCCATGTAGGCAGTCACATAACACAACAGTGGACAGAGAGCAAGTGGTGGGTTTTCTGCAGGTCCATGCTGAAGATTTATAGGGGAGAGTGAAGATAATTTGCAGTCATAGAGGAGAAGCTGTGAGTGAAGGACACAAAACCATCACAAAATAGAGTCCAGGAGGGCAGAGTACTTGAGAGTACAGGATGAGAATAGAGCATGTCCTTATTGAATTGTGAAGATTAGTTGAGTACTAATTCAGACAGAGGAGTATGAAGTAACTGAAGACAAGAAGACTTAATAATAGAAGTGAAATGCTAGTTTCTATGTTGAGGTCTGTTGCCAGGAGACAGCTAGTGAAGACTGGAATTCTAGTGCATATGAAACAGTGGACTGGAAAGCGTGTGAATCAGTGATAGTGCTGTATTAATTGTCATTAAGAGACAACTTGTATCCAAAGTGCTAATAAATCTAATCATCTGAACTAGAACCTGTTATTTTCATTACACACACAACTCTACAGGTGAAAATATCCATACACGCATAGGTCTGTCAGTTCCAGTAGCAGCCCAAATCTCTGTGGCCCATGCTGAAGCAGGAACCAACTTCAGCATGAACAGTTCAACAGTTTGCATTAGGCTAAACAACCTTACTGTCATTTCAGTTTTGAATCACATTCGATTTGTTTTCTTATACAAATGCAACTTAAAATGATATGGACAAACTCATAAGTCTGCAAGCATGGAAACTGGACATTTCTGAGTCTTCTGTCTCGCCTTCAGCTTCACACTGCACAAAAAGGCGAATGTTGAGTGTGAGAACAGTTATTTTGTACACTGATGTAACAACTACTGGAGTCAAACACGTTTCCATTACAACTTACAGTGAACACTGTGTCCAGGGTTCATAGCATTTGCATCAGTAACATGCACAGCAAAGATTATCTAGACATGTTTCCATGTTGCATATGTTTTATGCAACAGCAAAACAATTTTAAGATGTTTCGGTTATTGATGTCACTTGGTCTTGATTTCCTTGACAGATCAGCAGTGCAAAATGCTTCATACATAACACGTAACTGACCTGTGCCATCCAAACCACTCCAGATGAGGTCTGTCTCTTTCTATCTCATGGTGAGGGGCATCACAGTCAAAATGTTTTTCATTCACAGACTGTTACAGGTCCACCTTGATGGGTGGAAGCAGTAACATGATCCTCCTAAAGTCTGAACGCAGTTTCTATACCAAGGGAGGGGTTGCATCATATAGGAACTGTCCGCTGGGGTCATACACAGCACAGCTACGGAGCCTGAGAGACCGAGTTAATGGGTCTCTGGCAAAGTTGTGCCATACTCAGCAAGTTAAGTGCATATCAATAATGCTCTTGAAACAATGAACTGATTAAAACTTGACCATGCAAAAAGGATGAATGAAACAAGTGCACTGTGAACGGCACCAAAATTAAAATTTACAAGAAACTGACCTACGGGGTGACCCAGGTCAAGATGGCTGAGCCAGGTACTGGAAGACATCAAGAAGGGAGGAAAGAGCTGGCAAGGAAATGAAGATGAAACATTGTGGAACAAAAGAAGAGACTGGGGGATTTTTCATCCACTGACCAAAATAAAGCAGAAATGGTGCCAGTGGAAGAAGAGGAGGAGGAGGAGGAAGATGGGTAAGATGGAGACCTCTCATTCAGAGGGTCCTGAGTATGATCCTTGGTTAGATCTACATGGTGACTTTTCTGCATACCTGCAGAACTTTCACTCCCAACAAAGAAAAAGTTTTGGGAATGTAAAGAGTATGAGGTCCCTACCCATGGTTCAGAGCTCACATCAAGCTATGGGGCCCACTTGGCCATTATTATTCTCATCATAAGTTTCTGGAGGTAACAAAATCTGCCATAGGATGACCTCCCCATTTCAGAAATGGTTTCTACACCCCTGCCTACATGGGCAGGGACCGGAGAGGTCCACACAGACATAAAAAGGAGACTCTAGAAACTTAAAGTATTTACTGGATGCTTACATCCAAGTAACAAGACATGTGACAACATACATAATTTGAACTTCGGTAAAATTCAAAACAGCTCAGTAACACCGCCACTTCTCAATGCAACTTCAAACCCAGAGGTTAAACAAAGAAACGACTGTACTAGAATTTAATGTACATTTGCGGGGCCATTTCAGGGTACCAACATGACACAGGTGTTACGAAAGCTCAAAGCCTGTATTACTGGATATAGCGTAACGCAGCTTATCACGTAATGTGCTCTTCTTCTGGTAGTTGGGAAGTTTCAGAAGATTGAAGCATGTTGATGAAGTTGGTAACCGATTCTGAGGGTCCTTTTTCCTGATTGTGAAAAACCCACGAATTACGCTTCCTGGAATCCAAGAAGACAATTCTGAACAACAAAATAAATTTGTGCTACACATGAGATTATCACAGCAGTGACTATGATGCCTACTGTCTTCTGTGATGTGATGCTTTGTAGACTCATAGGCAGATATCAACATTTTGGAACACTGTCACCATCCTTCATACCCATATATAAAACATTTGTCCATGCTTAACCATACTTCTCTACCCCGAAGATGGAGGCATCTGGACTCTAAAAAGAACTTGTTCCAGACTGTACAGTATCACATTCCAGAAGATAGAAATTTTTTACTAATTCTATCAAATCTGACATTTGTATCAGCAATAAATTTACATTACAACAAGTGACATACTTAAAATCACAAAGAATGCATTCTCACAATGCGTGTCCATTGAACTGGAGTATGCATTTCCAAACTTTCTCTGTAGATCCAAACAAATGTTGCAAACTTACCAATCGTATCACCAGTATCTTCATCATCTCCAACTTCCACACAACGAATAGAAAATGGTGGCTCCAAATGTGCGAAACCCAGTAGAGGTGGCTTGGAACAGCTCGTTACGAACTGCAATAGTACCAAACTAGCAGCATTTAATTCATATCAAACCATTCCACAACTGAGTATACAAACTTTTCATTTAAACAATCAGCAAAACTTGTGGGGTATGTAATAAGTTACTCTCCATTATGAGCTACTGAAACTGAGAAGAAAAATAAAAATAATAATGATTTAATATCAGCAGCAGCAGCGACGACAATCACAGTGGCATAGGTAAAGTTATCCCTGTAACAGGCCTTGGAGGCCCATGGGATTGTGAGCTGTGGAGACTCCCACATTTTCTAGACAATCAGCTTATAGATGGCAGTGAGGCTGTCAGTCTTATGTGCTGGCCATCCTTTACCCCCAGGAAGATTCCTGGTACTTGTTTCTGTTAGAGGCTGTGTCGACCCCAGGGCCACAGTGTGGCTGGAAGGATTACAGCAATTGATAAATGCAATAACATCATTGGGAACTGAACCTGTGACCTTCTGGTTTGTAGCAGAGGCCTCAACTAACTGCACCACCACGATAACAACAACAAAACCAATCCTATAGACTGAAGCAGAGACCGTAACAACTGTCCGGCTACTAAGCAAATTCCATTTCATTGAACTCACAGGATCATAGTCACATTCATAACAACTTGCCACTGGTCCCTCTTCTGAGCCAGTGGAATCCAGTCTGAGGAAACGAGACTGATTTAGGCTCACTGGTTTAGCTTTAACCACTTGTAACCAACCCAGGCGGCTGCTTCCCACAACATGCATATGAACCCTCATTAAGGAAGTGTACATTTTCCTAATGGGAAGAACATAGACCAAGGGTGCCTGAGCAGAGGGTGCAGAGGGGAATATTGGAAACCAAGGGCGAGGATGTCACAGGAAGCCGAAAAAAAAAACATCATAGTGAGCAGCTCTTCACCAGATATTATTAGGATGAACTAAGCAAGGAGGATAAGGTGGATGGAGGACATGCAGCATGTACGGGTAAAAAAAAAAAGGTTAAGTTATCCCTGTGCTTAACTAATTAACCTTTATCGGACGGGCCATTTAATTTCCGGTAGGGGCAGCTGGACGGAGTTTATTTAAATGCCCGCCCTTCTAGAGCAATGAAATTGTAAGCATGTTTCTAAAATGGTGTGATTTCTACATTTTTTATGATAAACGAACGAAATGAACGCTCCTTTAATGTAGAAAGAATATAGAATCAGATATTCTAATTTACAGATTT